TTGTAGTTTTTGAAAAGTGATTTCTGTTAAATAAAATATCTCCTTTTGAATTGGACTTTGAGCTTTGTAACTTTGCAGATCTTTTTTATGCTCAAACAGCAACATTACAGACTAACTAAAGTTGAAAAAGTGAAAAAGCATAATAGGACCTCTTTAAGATCTGACTATGCCCTGATAATCCTAATGGGAACCACCATGGTTACTAAACAGATAGGACTGTAAACGTAGGATGTCGTCTTTCTAAAAGAAAATGTTGCCGATTTATCAGAAGAGGTCGCTTTAAAATACTAAAGCTATCAGCAACATGTTGCAGATCAGCACACATAACAAAACTTCTGAGTCAATACTACCACAACTGGATTTTATTTCTTTTAGCTCTTTAGTCTCTGAAATACATGCTTACTTCCAATTTTGTATTATAACTATTCAAGATCATAATTACATACAGTATAGCAATTTTCTTTTACAACGGGTGTTTACAAAAACAGAAAAACACGTCTGGAAAAATTGAAGCACGTCAGTTTGTGCTTCAGTCTGACCAGTTAAAATCTATTCTGTGCCATACATAATATAATAAATCAATTTACATTGGTAATAACATTATCATCAGTTTCATAGTAGTCATTCAGGAAATTAAAAAACACCATCCAAACGAAGGTTATTTACAAAGTGGAACAGGGTGACAGTCCTCTTTTACATTTGAGAAGTACTAAGATCTACTTTAGAGCATTGTTCAGTTTCCATGTACAGACATTAAATCGCATCCTTCCAAACTCTTATCACCGTGTCCAGTGCTTCTCTAAAGAGAAACTAAATGTCACTGCCTAAATTCAGCAGCAGTGTCCAAAGACACAGCCTTATCATGGCGCAAAACAACAACTACAAAAGTTGTGTGCATTTCATCTGAGACACAAGATGGCATAAATTACATTTGAATAAAAGTCAAAGCAATGACTCCAAACAGAATCAAGAGTTAAGTTCAGTGTGTGTGTGTGTGTAACCGAGAGGGGTCTGATGGATTATTTCCATTAACAAAAAGTGCAAAAGTAGGTAACAACTGGATTGTTACTAATATCACTAATGCTGTTTGAGCGGGTGTGTGTTTGCTTTGGGCTATTGTAAGCCACAAACGTGTCTCTTTATTTGAAAAGTCTATTTATTTGTTTATTTGAAAGTTAAAACAGATATTACAGTCATATTGTCCAGCATTGTTTTAAAGGTCTAGGACAGAGAATACACAGAATACACAAAAACACAGACAAGTGCGAGTACATGGAGAAAAAAGAGAAAAAAAAACATACTGAAATTTCATATAGATTGTACACATTGCAGGTATGTTTTAGAAACATGTACATACAAAGTAACGTATCAGAGTTTAATATATTATTTGGCATCACCTGTATGGCAATTAATTGTGTCAGAATGTTGCATTTGTACAGCACTCCATTGTGTACATTATTACATGCATACAGCAAAACAAAACCTGGATTTATGGAATGGGCTTGATTCTTTAGTACATAGTATCAAGACACAGAGCCGAAACATCTGACTCCTCCGCTCACACCGGTAGAAGTACAGTTACACAAACACACCCCTAAGAAAGGCAGTAAAGGCACATCTCCTATTATCTGTGGAGAAGTGCAACTTAATTAGAAAAATAACTAAAAAAAAAAACAGAGGTGAGAAAACCGTTGTTAAGTTCACAGTGGCCTGCTGGGCACCAGGGGCATGTTCATCAAGTATGGCGAGTCCTGATCTTGAGGTCCATCTATAAGTTTACAAGTTCGTGAGCCACAAACCGTTTCAAGCGCTCCAGGTACTGTCCATACAGCTCTACGTCATTGTGTCCCGCACCCTCCACCCACAGCGGCTCCACGGGCCGCTGGCAGCACTCGTACAGGGCCAGTCCATGGGAAAAATCAATCACCTCGTCCTCCGTACCATGGATCACCAGCACCGGAGAGGTGACTTTAGAGATTTTATCAATGCTGAGGAAAAAATAAATAAAAATACAAAAACACATGAATAGAGTGTTCTTTAGTACAATGTTGTTTAAATCATTATGTGATTTGTAAAGTAATTTCTACATGAGACAAAGAGTAACGAGAGAGAAAAAAAAAAAAAAAGAGAGATTTTGAGGCATGAAAGTGCTTTTTAGGATGTCCAGTATTTTTCTTCATCTGTACCACTTTTTTTCCATTGAAGACAAAATAAAAAAAACAAAACTTAAATGCACATTGTTTGTCTTTTTAAAAGACAAGTATCTATCTGAAATTTGTTCCTGACTTACCGGCTGGTCAATACACAATGGTAAAAATATTTTAGCTCATTTCAAATAATTATAACATTATTTCATAGTACTAATTGCACATATCTGCTTTTTATAATGCACTGTAGATTTACAGCAGTCTGAAATAATAATAATAAAACACACAGTACAGTTCAAAAAATTTGAGGCTTTTCAGATTATGCTTACCAAGGCTTAATTGTGTTAGACCGAAAATACAGTAAAATAATAATACTGTAAAACTATTATTTAAATAATTATTTTTTTCTATTTTAGTATATTTTAAAATGTAATTGATTCCTATGATGGCATAGTAGAATTTAACAACAACCCTTTAAGAAACATTTCTTAGTACTATCAATGATGAAAAGATAAATGTTTTTTTTAACAATATAAAAGTCTTTGTTGCATTTGATTTTATCACTTTTTGGTGCATATTGTTAAAAAAGTATTCATTTTATGGTAGTGCATGTATAAAATAAACCAACACTGAACTACTTGTTGGAAAATATTTGTCACTAGAGGGCACACAATAACAACAATATCTATGGGGCAGAAAACAGATGAACCAACCAGGCGCCTTCTCCACAACATGGCTGCTCAAAGCAAAACACGTGTAAACAAACCGTATGTGTCTAATTGGTATGAGGTACTACACAAATTAGGGAAAAATGTGACTGTGGTAAACATGAGAAAAAAGGAAAAGCAGGCAAGTCTAAAGTAAAAAAAAAAAAAAAAAAAGCTGAGGTCAGAGGGGAGTGGAGGATGACGGCAGCGCTCTCGTACCGAGAGGCCAGATCCACCGAAGGGACCGTACCGATGCTCTGGCCATAAATGATCACGTTCTCTGGCCTGATCCCGTACCTAGAACACCACATTCAAATGAGTTCATACACACCTACACGCTCAAATGATGCTGCGATCAGAACACTATCATGAATCAAAGGTACAGGTGGTTTAGCCTTATTTCAGGACCAGACAAACTGGGAAGTGGCCTTGGTGTTTGGTGGTTAACGTGAATGACTGAATCTTTTGAAACACTGTTCATATACATTACGTAACCTTAACTGACATGCCCAACTTAAGTGATATTGCTTTTACAAAAAGGCATAGGCGTGAGCCAAAATTTAAGAGCTGATACTAGAACGGAGAGTGATTAATCAAACCTTTCCTGCGAGTCAAGCTGCTCGTAGTCTCAACGGTCTCCATTTCATTACATTTCATCAAGTGATTGCTTAATGGGGAAGTTCACATTAAAGAAAAAGGAAAAAAGAAAATTCTCTTATGTATTTTTAGACAACACAGATAGAAAAATTCTAGTTGATTTTCTGTAGAACATTTTCACGTCTAATTTTTTTTTTAAACCAATTATGCTAGAAGTGAATTATTTTATAAATAAAAATTATAATAATATAAATATAATAAAAAATAATAA